AAAGAAAAACATCATGGAGAGGACCTTACGGTCGGTACTACTGAACAGTCTTTTTTTAAAAATTTTTAAGCACATTTACTCTTAAGAAATTGATGAATACTAATGAACCTTAATGAATCTTTCAGACATTATTACAGCAATAGATAAAAAAATGTACTCACATTATAGTACACGAGCTATACTGTATGACGAGCTATTTTGTTTTTTAAGAAAACTGTACAGTCTACTTCTCGAGATAGTACTGCAGCCAGCATCATCCAACACGGTGATTCCAAATATCTAGGAACACAGAAAAAACGTTACCTCAGAACAAAAAAAGCATTAATTTCGATATGTTAACTTCAATATTTGTCAATACACATTCATAGATAACAATCTACAAAATAATCTCAAAAAAAAATATTTTTATTGAATGTGTCGTGTTTACACTATATTCAATCACAATCAAACGTTCTTTTGAATCATATCAATTAAGAAAATTTGAGATTTATTTAAAATGATTTTGTCATTCAACGATTCTTTAACACCGATATACCGCTTAACAGTGAATTTGTCTGTTGCTGAATAAGATAGTATACTATTTTATTCAGCAACAGACAAATTCACTGTTAACGTATAAACAAGAGAATCTCGTGTATCTAACATGACAAGTTGATTTCGATTACGAATAAGTTATGTGACATGATATTAATTCCAATGATGTTATAAATAATAAGTTTTTATAATATATCAACTTGAAATGTCATGTGACAGATACATTTTGTTGATTATATCCGATAAACAACGCATCATTATTATCCTAGGAGATTAAAAACAGTTAAGTGAAAATTCATTTAAAATTTTTTTTAAAAGATTTGTTGCTAATACAAGTGGCAGTTTTTCGGTGAAACATTACAGTACACTATTGTAACATGAGACTGCGTAGTATAGCTTAATATTGGTAGAAATGAAATAGGATTTTCCATAGGACAAAGTGTATATTTATCAACGAAACGTGTGTCGAAAACCAAATAAAAACATTATAAACATTTATTGTTAATATCAACAACGGATAGATCACTGTTTAGTAGGCAAACTGATAAAGACCAGTCCAAACGAGTTCGCACTAATTAATGTTTACTGCATAGCAGAATACGTCAGTGAAATTGTTCACAGACATCTAAACCGTCATCGGCTAGAGAACACGAACAGTTCAAGACCAGTTTAAAGATTAAGCAGAGAGAGCGGTATAACTTGTCGCCAGTAACCTGGTTTGGACGCACCTCTGATACAAATTATATCCTCAACTATAATACAATCCATATTTTCATGAAGTATCTCAGTTGAGAAACCAATATTTTTGCAAAAATACTCGTTTCTCAACTGAGATACATTTTGGTACGTGCATTGAATCGTACAATTGGATATAACTACTTAGACCTTTTTCACAAAACTCATGATTCAGACATAAGCACTGACGATGATGTCGAGGGCGATGAATAAAAACCGATTTTGTTGCTATTTTTTTTTGCATACATGCGATTATAAAGACTTTCGCAGTTATGTGTAAGGAAAAGTGTGAAACAAAATGACGATTCAAGAATTATTAAGATTTTTGTAGACAAGCTCAAGAAATTTCAAGACATTCGAGATATTGCGTTTTTGCAATTTCTTATGTTTTCTTATCAAGATCTTGAGTCAAGATCTCACCCAAGAAAGCTTGTCAGCGTTGTCCTACGCGGTCAAAATGTGAAAACTGTCTACCTGGATATATGCACAAAAATATAATCAGTATTCACTAGTTTACCTATCGTTACCCTTAAACTAAGCTACAAGACACATCTAATTCTCGCTCTAGTACGAATCCACCTTTCTTTCAACAGCTACTGCTGTTGTCGTGGATATGTTAGATGTGGAGGTTGGCACTACCGAGACACAATGGGCATTCAGGTGGGAATTTAGAAAAAAACAGTGAGCTTGCTTTTTCGTAATTTAAATAGTGTTTCATATACTTCAAGTGACGGCCGATTTAATGACAAAAGAATTTTTATTCTACGACTTTTCCTTCTATAAAACATTTGAAATGCAAAAACACCATGTAAATGCGCTATTTTTTCGGAAAATTTCGATTTTTATTGAAGGATAGTAAATTAGAATAAAACCGAGATCATATTCGGAAAGAACACAGTCAGACGAATACGAAATAAAAAAGAATTTTGTTTTTCGAGTGAAACTTAAGAGTTTTGGAATGAATTCTTTCGAATTCTTTCGGTCTAGGCTGTAAAGACCCTCTCCGATGTTTTGAGAACGCGCAGCTTAGCGCAGCTCTGAACTAACATATTTTTAACCAACTGCAAAAACTGCAAGGATGATATATAATTCATCTGAATTCGGTCCTTTCGTTCTGAATTCTATAAATTTCTTAGATTTGGGATTCACACGAAGAACTTTCTGCTGAAAATTCAAAATTCAAGAGAGAAACCGTGGAAGGTTTGAAAATCTGCTTCTATAGGTTATCGACGATGCTCTATCCAATGGAATGGTTTTTCAGTTTAAAAACTTTTTCAAAGGGTTTTCCACAAATCCGGTCTCTGGAAAATCCACTGGAAAACTTTGTCGAAACTGGAAAACTATTGCATTGGAAAGAGAATCGTCGAAAACCTATAGAAAGTGGTTCAGATAATTTCAGTCCACTTATAAAGTTAATGTCGGCCTGCTCTAGCGAAAAATGCCCACTGTGCGAGAAAAGGAGACAAAACAGTCACTTACAAATCACAAGACACTACGCCCTTCGTGTCCTGTCCGTCTGACCATCCGCAATGGGGAGCGGGAGAAGGTAGCAGAAAGTGCAAAAACAGCTATTTGACCCCCAAAATCTCTTTAAACTAAAAACTTTTTTTTTCGTTCTGACGAAGAAAAGACCTGAAAGTTTTCACAAAATTCAAGGAGTCAAGATCTTGGTTATAAGAAGCTTCAATAGGGAAAGTTCTAAACTACAAGGCGTCATTCTCAAGTTTTTGCGCTGCAACTGGAGCGCCGCGTCAAAGAAGTTATTTTTACATTCATGCCCAGAGTTGCTTTGACAAGTGCTGTTTTGCTTTGTAAGAAAAATCTCCTTTTTCTTGAAATTTATCACTTTTAAGTTTGTTTTATTTGGCGGCCCGAAATGTGAGTATAACATAGAGCGTATTTTGTGTCAACGTTTCATGTCATAAAAATACAAGTAATTGTCTGCTTAACTACCATTTTAAAGAATGAATGAAGTTTCAATTTTATTTTCTTGTGTTTTTCAAAAACATAACCAAAAAAGTAACAGAACTGATTGATGCAAAACATGTTTATGTAGCCACGTACTGCAGTACGTTTCGCTTGTGGCTGCGTTTAATAGTAAAAATAGAAATGAGCGTTGTGTATGAAACACAATAAACTATCGCAAGAACGTTTGTTTCCATGTGAATACACAGTAAAAAATATTGTACCGCATGACTGTGTCATCCTTACTAAGAACTTTTATACACAGTTCTTGAGGTCATTTCAGGATCTGCTCAGACACATTGACATCATAAAATTTAACAGTTTTTTGAACAGAGCAGATCCTGAAATGACCTCAAGAACTGTGTATAAAATTTCCATTTATTCTGACTGTTAACTGGTGAAAGAGAGAAATACCTTCGAAGCACACAAATATCGACGGTTTGTCAAGAGGAATAAAAGCTCAAATGAGGTGTCGGGAAGGACGCTTAGGTAAACACTTAGCAATACTGTTCACATGGTATATATCACAATGGTAATTGTTCTAAGATAACTTCAGTAACGACAGGGTTGTCAACTCTAAAAGCCAAAAAAGAGGGGGGAAAGCGGAAAACAAATTTTTTGTATTTCTAGAGCGTATCTCAATCTTTTTAGTGCCATAACAGTTTCTTGTCAACAGATGTCCATGTTACAGTAGAAAAAATTTATTTATTTTCAACAAGCATAAAAGACTCAAACACTGAACACGCTATTTTTCTAAACTAATACTTCTTGATCGAGTTTATTGAGGTTAATAAGTCTTTTTGTGATAAAAGACAATGCAGATGTATTTTCAGCTCTGTCGAAACTAATTCTGTCACCATACGATTACGACCATCATTGAACAAATGTTTCATTACCATTGATCGTGGAATCGAATAAAGAAAACAAATTAATTTGTACATATTTGGAAATAGTTTTGGATTTAAATGGAATAACATAGCCCATAACTGATCAGATCGAATGAAGTTTTTCTCTTCTTCATCACTATCATCACTCTTCTCTTTTTTTCTCTTTGCTATTACATCTTTCCCACCTTTGCTTGCAATAAACGAATTAACTTGATCATATAAGGGCAACTTATTAAGATGAGTCATTGTCAAGATGTTGTAATAAAAACGACAGTGGCTGCTCAAGCTCGAATTTAAAAAAACTTGAAAAAGCGGAAAAAAAACTAAAAAATGTCGGAAAAATGGAATTTGTCCGCAAAAGTCAGACAGAATGGGAACCCTGATAACGAAATCCAACCAGTCGTTTTTGTAAAACAACCCGTAAATACTCTGATATATTTTAAAAAAGTAAAAGTTTTGTCTTAGCTTGTAAGAAAACCTTTTCTAGTATTTGCTCTAAACATCGATCATTAACACGGAAAATCGATGAATTTATCCGTTATAACGAATTTGTCAATATTGAGCATTATCATTTGTTAGTCCTCATGCGAACTTTTAATGGCATCCACAAAACTTTAGTATTCTTGTTTCACAATACAAGTCTTCTTGACAATAAGGCAAAAATATTTATAAACACGAAAAAAAGTACGTTTTTTTAGCGTGTACACACTACAGTTAAAATGTTCAAAAAAATCAGCTGAACATATATATATATAGATAGATAGATATTTGTTGACCAATGAAAAAAGTAAGAGTAACAAAAAGAATTTTATCACTAAAATCTTTCAATGGTTGACAGAAAAGAAACCTTTCTATCAATCGGAAAACCTAAGAAAAAAATTAGTGTTCTGCTTCTTCTTCTGGAATTTGTTCATCTTCTCGTTCTTCAGCTTCTTCTAAAATAAGAAAACAAGATACTTTCGAAATAAGCAAAATATCAATTAATCCTGCTCGAACGGCTATAATTCTAAGAATAGTTCTACTGCATTGTCCTTTAAGGTATCAAACCGACTGAGAAATATTGAGAGCGTACTTGACGTAATAAAAAAATTAATATGATTCTAAAATCACTTTTATTTCTATTTCAACATACCGTTTATAGCTGCATTCGCATTAATATCTGATTCATTTTGTTGTTGTTCATCTTCGATTATTGGTTGTTGTTGATCTCCAGTCGATGTTCCCATATCTACACCACTCAGTATTGTCTACAAAGAATATTTCATTATGAGTTACATATAAGACCCTCTACTTGTATACACACTTGTCTTAAAATATCTTCTAATTTTTCATAATCATCAGTTCGTCTTGACACTACATCTCGAATAATTGAGTCTAATAACGTACGTCCCATAACAAGTTGATTTACTTGTTTCATCGTACGATCCATCAACCATGGCATAAATGAAATTTCAATTTCTAGAGAGAACAACAGTAAAATTCAGTGTTCCGCTAACAAAATAAGTATTTGGCCTCTTACCATGTTCGACTGGATCATAAAAGTATCCATTTTCTCTTAAGTTATTAAATACACTAGGCACAAGATCTTGTAAATAAGACTTTGCAAATGCTCTTGCTGCGATTTTCTGTTGTATTTCTTGTTCCAGTTGTAATGCATCTTTTGCTTGTTTCATACGACGTTCTTTCTCAGCCCTTAGTCGTCGTTCTTGTTCTTCAAGGCGTTGCAATTCAATCATTTCAGCATTACGCATTTCTTCATATTCACGTTGTTGTTCACGAATTTCGGCTAATTCTTCTTCTTCAGCTACTTCGATGAGAGCTTGTTCTAATGTTTTACCAGTTAGAGTTTCGACGATTGGTTTTACTTCCAAATCAAAATCAAATAACTAAGAAAAAACAGACTAACAATATAAAGTATATTGGCAGAATAATACAATTTACATCTCCAGCTTCAATTTGTGTTGTTATATCTTTGCCTGTTTTTTGTGGAATAAATAGTGGCGATGGTGGACGATCGAGAAATGCATCGGTTTGAATTTCAACATCCGCTTCTTCAATACGATCACTGGAAGTATAAAGAAGAAATATTAATAGTTGTCTGCCATTAAAGTTTAAGTATTAAAGATTCATCTACCTTAACTCTTCTAAATATAATTCTGTCTGAACATCAATATGTTTTCGTCCATGTACAGGTTCAGGTGTTCGCGTTCGAAGTTGTTCACGGGCTTTTCTTCGAGCTAAAGCTCGACGTTTTGCTTCTTGTTGACGTTGTAACTCAATTGGATCGGGTTGAGCATGCTACGATATAGAACAAACTATGCATTAAAAACTATAAGGGCAAAAGACAGAGTGCACATACTGCTGGTAGCGTGTGCAATGCATATGTGTTTCCACGAATAATACGACGATCATACATAATATTTCCAAAATTTCCCATCTCATCTCTACAAGCATAGAGGACAAAAGTAATATGAAATGATGACTATATTGTTTCATCTGCGATGATCACAGTTTAGTTATCTTACTGAAGACCTATTGTTGGTTCTCGATATTTTTTTCGTTGTTGCACTGCTTTTGGTTGACTGGAAAATGTGTAGGTAGAATTGGGCGGCTTGACGATCGTTGTAGCCATTTTGTTGCTGGTCTAAAACATACAATAAAAACATTAAAACACGTATCAAATTACCAATGAACAAGGCACAAATGTGTTGATTTAACAATAACAAATAATTCACCGAATCCATGCACAAATTATGTTTTCTAATGAGGTTATCTTAATGATCATCCTCGAAACAGAATTATTAACACATTATGGTTCATTATGGAAGCAACTATTTTGAAAGCGTTAGTTTTGTCAACATGGAGCGATCTGTAGCTAGAATGCTTTCCATATCACCTTAGTTGAGGAATTTTGGAAAAGCTTGTTCAGTGATAACTGACTAGAGATCCGAACTCTCCATGCTCCACTACATTGTACGCAGCTAATCTGGACTACAATATTCTTGAAAAAATTTCTCATGATATTTTGCCCAATACTTTTTTGGAAGAAATTTCCGTAAGGTACTGAAGACTCAGCAGCAACGAGAAACTTTTAACAATATTTCAATCCAAATTTTGTTCCGTACAAGATAATGGACTAGTGAGAGCCCCAAATATTCAGCCAGTCTCCATTAAATAAGCTTTTACAATCTCTCAAACAGATTGATCTGCTCAAAGTCTACTTCCATCACAGCTAGGTTTATCATACTCATAGATACTCACAATTTAAAGAAGAATTAACAGAATATGCGTTTGTTTTGCAGCAATTACAGATGCGAAGAGTGTGTAATAAGCTAGTAATCAATAAACAACAGCAGTAGTAGTTACTGTCATTTTTTATCTGATACGTCTAATGAATAATACATATTAAAAAAAGAATATTTAGGTTTTGCCAATCAAACATTCACTTAACCACCACCTACAGTTTACACATCAAAAAATACCTTGACAATAAACAGCAATAAAAATATGAAAGCCATAGATGTAATCATCACTTGGACGACACCTTCATTCATATTTAAGTTTGGCAACATGAACAGATCACGAATTGAAATGAACGTTTATGACGTTTAAATAAAATGTAGAATGCACTTAATAACAGTTACAGATCGAACTGACTACTAGCGACACGCAGCATTTTAAAAAAAATACTCAGAACTTTTGTCACCGGACTGACAGACTGGTAGCCCTACATTAGATAGACGTTTTGACTTATAATAAGAAATGGATGAAATAGCACTAGAAAAAGTTTATAATCAATGCCAATGTCATCGTAAAATCGAACAGAAATGGCTGATGAAGCGCAATTAATCTGTCGATTAACTGCGCATAATCGTGATTTTTAAGCAGAATTTTTTGCTGATAATCGAGACTTATGAACGTTTTTCTCTCAAAATCGCGGTTATGCGCCGTTAATCGGCTGATTGCGCTTAATGAGCCGTTTCTTCTCGATTTTGATGACATGGATGGGTGTTTCCATACAGCTCCCGAACATACAGGACATGACAGCCGTGAAGATGAGAGTATGTGGACTTCCTAGTGGTAGAGAAGGTAAGTAAAAGTCCTCAGTTGTTCCCTTGACAAAGCATGAGGAGCATGATTTTTCTGGGAATCCAAGTTTTGAAGTGATCCCTCCCTCACCGGTCAACTTTCAGAGCAACTCTTTGTTTAACTAAACATTTTACATGGCTTCTCTATCGTTCTTACTAAAGGCAAAGTCGATTTGTATCATAACCAATATAAATGACTTGTCCTAACATGAATAGAGGTGGCAGGCCCCGGTTACAAAATGATCCAAAAAGCAAAAGCAGTCCTTTTTATTTTTGCTCTATTGTCATCAAAACAGGTTGAAGTATATCCTGTTTTTATATCAGATTAAAGCTGAAGGAATGCTTATTCGAATGACGTAACTTAAGATGCGTTTTATGTTTTCATTGTTTCTAATGTACCCATTACTTATTATAAATAGGTACCTGGATTGCTATAGTTTCAGAATATGATTAGATGAATATATCTAATCCCTAGAACACCGAAAAAGCTCTGAATTTATCTTTTCCCTCGAGATGATTCGTTAGCAGCTTGCTAAAAAGTCCAAGAGCAGAAAAAAAGTGAAAAAATTTTTTTGAGCGAAAATATGAATCCAGAGTTTTTTTATGTACTAGATATTGAATCCGTAGATTTAATGTCTTTAATTATGAGCAAACAGTGTACCAAGATTAAAACGAGTTTGAACTCGAGTCCTATTTTTATCTCTTTTTCTAATAAGAAATGATAGAGTTAAAGTCACCTCCAGTTCTGTATCCAATAAAAAGTCGAAGTGATCCGATTTCGTTTCTTGATCGGATTTTTACCGATAATTAAAATCTTTTCTATCCAGTAGAAGAGGCAAAAATAAATGCTGTTCTCACCCGATTCAGAAGTTGAGAAATATTTATTAGCTCTGCGCTTATGACTTTTATTTTTTCAGTACTAGACATTTTTGACAGCTTCTATGTTTAATAGAACGTGGACTCGACCGTTCAGTTCCAAAGGAAAGTAAATATATAGGGGACAATCACTGAAGAGTTTAAAAGTATATGATTTATAAATATTTATAACTCAAACCATTTATGACTATTTTAACTTTTAATAAAAGATTTAATATAGTTATAGTCCGAGTTATAAACTTTAACCCTAGTTGAGATTTATAAATCGGACCGAACGCAGGCAGAGTGCAGTTTTTTATCGAACCACTCTTTTATAATCCAACTTGTAACAAAGCTATATTCTTTCTGCATAAACATTTTTACAGAGAAATAAAACAAGAAGAAAAGAAATACCATGTTCGTTTAACAAAGAGCGGGCGAAGAATATCACTGCTGTTATGACCGTCATCATCGGTCGGATCTGTTGGACTAATTTCATCACTTTGGCCATTGCGCGCTTCTTTTGTCAAACCATGAATATCTCAGTGGTGGAACCATGAAGATCCTTATGAACTTATGAAGAAAATGTTTACTGATCTTGGTTTAGCAGAAGAAGAGAGCAATGGAGAAGGGGATGAAATTAATCTACAAATCTCGACCCGATTTATAAATCAACTCAACTTTAAAATTACTTTTGAAGTCTTCAGCGGGGACAATCCATGTAACCCTGCTACTTATGCATTACTCTTTTTGCTGTTATTGTTTGTGTCATAGTACATTGTGAAAATTTAAAAACTATCTTGTAAGTGGAAATGTGCTCTTCAAAATCCGCTCTAAGATCAATCTAGATCATTCAACTTTCTTTGCGCTACAATCGAAATACCATCATCCCAAAAAACTGAATTTTAAGTTAAGTACAGTCTTTCCACGAACAACTGATTTATTAAAAGGTGTGACTAGAAACATGTGAAAGAACGTTTTTTAAAATAAAATATATAAAAATGTATACGCGAAATTCTGCCTAATAAACATTTTTAAATTAGTTTCTTTTAAATGAAGACGTATCAATTTTTATTTTAAAAACAACTTGAGCAATTAAAAATTATTTTTTCTTCGAAGCCTAAATTTTTCCCATGGGAGAAATTTTATCGACTTTTCACGCGTGAGGGATCCACAGTGGGCAATTTTGACCAAGCACGTGGACATGAGTTCTGAAAGCAGTCCAAACGTATCTAAACCATTTTTCTATAGGTTTTCTACGACGCTCTTTCCAACCGAATGGTTTTCGAATTTTAAAAAAGTTTCCCAAGGGGGTTTCAAGAGCCCGGATCTCTCGAAGCCACTTCAAAAACTTTATCACAATTCGAAAACCATTCCATTGGAAAGAGCATCGCTGAAAAGCTATAGAAAAATATTTTAGAAGCGTTCAGGATTTTTAATCTTGACTTTTAAATTTTCGGGCAAAAAATTGTACGTGCCGATGCCAAAATCTAAGAATTCGATAAAATTCAAAAGTATATGTCCAAAACCCAATGAATTATACGCCATTCGACGCAGTCTTTTAAGCTGATTTTGAATATGCAATTGGTTCTTGGTTCTGATGTTTCTGAACTACGAGGACTTGATTTGACCTCGAAAACCAAGGATTTTTGGAAAACCTCTCCCTCTGCAGGAAAGTGTTTGGGCTATTTTAGGCTAAGTGCACAGACGTATCATATACATATTATAGAAGAAAATTTCCTGAAAGTTTCAGCTTCGGTGGACGTCAGGGGAATTTAGGGCCCCAACTCTACTAAAATTACTTTTGCGAAAAACGCTTAGTCTCCGGAAAACTCTTTTTTCTCCCACCAAAAACTAACTAAAATTAAAAACTTTTTTTATTAGTCGATAGCCTGGAAACTCAGCTTTCAGAGTATGTGTGTTTCATTTTTTCCGAAGTTCGTTATGTTGACAGAGAGAACAATATTTTTTAAGGGCCACACAAACCGAGCTAAAAATTGCAGCTTACTTTTCTCGATGACCTAGGCACTAGAGCCAAAACATTTTCACCATTAAATAGGCCACTGATCGTTGTATATGTAGCACTCATTGAATCTCTAAAAATCTCACTTTCGTTTTTTCCCCAAATGTCCACGTTGTTGCGCACTGTGCAAGTTGTTACAGAGCAACGCAGTCTTCTGAATTCAGGTTGTGTTTAATCTTTATTGGTGTTAAAAGAAGCATACTTAAATGATATGTGGCCTGAATAAAAATAAAATGTAAGGAGTTCTCTTTTGTTTGTTGATATAATTGTCTAACTCATACATTTTTTCATTATGTTTTCTACAAACTGTAATACGTAAAAGTTGTAAACAAAGAAGCTGATCGAGCTAACGCCAAGCTTTTCGATGTCGATTCGGAACCTTTGATAAACCTTACATGTCGGAGCTTGATGTCGACAAGTGCGTATACTTTCATCGCTTGAAAGAGATCAAAAAACGGTCATAAAAACGGAAAATTAACCGCCAATTGACCACGTTATTTCGGAGAACCGACGGTTAACCGTTCCTTTTTCAGATCACCGTTTTGTTTTGTGGTCACTATATGTACATAAGGACAACATGATTTATCTTTATTTATACATTCTTTTATCTCATTTAATTTATTTTTTTTAATTTTTATTTAATTTATTTTTTATGTCATTATCATTTTCTAATGATGTGTTTTCATCAAACCATATCAATGTTACAGTTTCTTTATTTTATGTTATGATTTTCAATTGTGGGTTGTCAATATCAATGGCTTGAATTGGATCACTTAATAATGTTAGTAGTATTTTTGGTGAAAGTTTGATACTACATGAAATAGCTGTGTCCGATTTTTTGCCTGTTGTTGCTGTTGACTCTGGAGTGGGTATAGCAGCCACAGTAACAGGAATAACTGGGTCAGATTGTGAATGATGTTGGACTTGTTTATTGTTTAAATCATAATGATCTTGGTGTGGATAGACGAATTTTTCCAGCCCATGATTATCTTCTAGGAATGATTGGATCATTTACTTGTCAGAGTTAAACAGAAAAAGCGATGAATTTATCATAGTCTACCTTTCCTTTATTTTAGAAAGAATAGTAGCAGCCAAATATAAAATCTGTATATGAAACGCGACTTAAATTTAATTATATTTAGTAATTTTTCAACCGCCTTCTTGGTTACTAGAGACTCAGACAGAATTCATTTCTGAAAGAATCAAAGAAGATACCACGACCGGTTTCGACCTTTCTCAAGGGTCTCGTCAGGT